AAACAAACCCAATTTTTTCAATCTTCCTTCATACATCATGTTTTCTAGACCTTTCATCATTTTTGTTGCTCTACTCTGGACTTTCTCCAATTTGTCCACATCTTTCCTGAAATGTGGCACCCAGAACTGGACATAATACTCCAGTTGAGGCCTAATCAGTGCAGAGTAGAATGGAAGAATTACTTCTCGTGTCTTGCTTACAAACACTTCTGCTAATACATCCCAGAATGATGTTTGATTTTTTTGCAAGTCTTACACTGTTGACTCATATTTAGCTTGTGATCCACTGTGACCCCCAGACCTCTTTTTGCAGTACTCCTTCCTAGGCAGTCATTTCCCATTGTGTATGTGTGCAACTGATTGTTCCTTCCTAAGTGGAGTACTTTGCATTTGTCCTTGTTGCATTTCATCCTATTTACTTCAGACCATTTCTCCAGTTTGTTCAGATCATTTTGAATTTTAATCTTATCCTCGAAAGCACTAACAACCCCTCCCAGCTTGGTATCATCCGCAAACTTTATAAGTGTAATCTCTATGCCATTATCTAAATCACTGATGAAGATATCGAACAGAACCTGACCCAGAACCAATCCCTGTGGGACCCCACTCATGATACCCTTCCAGCATGACTGTGAACCACTGATAACTACTCTCTGGGAATGGTTTTCCAACCAGTTATGCAACCACCTTATAGTAGCTCCATCTAAGTTGCAGTTCCCTAGTTTGTTTATGAGAAGGTCATGAGAGACAGTATCAAAACCCTTATTAAAGTCAAGATATACCACATCTATCACTTTCCCCCATCCACAAGGCTTGTTACCCTGTCAAAGAAAGCTATCAGGTTGGTTTGACACAATTTGTTCTTGACAAATCCATGCTGATTGTTACTTATCACCTTATTATCTTCTAGGTATTTGCAAATTGATTGCTTAATTATTTGCGCCATTATATTTCTGGGTACAGAAGTTAAGCTGTCTGGTCTGTAATTCCCCAGGTTGTTCTTATTTCCCTTTTTATAGATGGGCACTATATTTGCCCCTTTCCAGTCTTCTGGAAGTCTCCTGTCTTCCATGACTTTTCAAAGATCTTTACTAATGGCTCAGATATCTCCTCAGTCAGCTCCTTGAGTATTCTACGATGCATTTCATCAGGCCTTTGTGATTTGAAGACATCTAACTTGACTAAGGAGTTTTTGACTTGTTCTTTCCCTATTTTAGCCTCTGATCCTACCTCATTTTCTCTGGCATTCACTATATTAGACGTCCAGTCACCATCAACCTTCTTGGTGAAAACCGAAACAAAGCAGTCATTAAGCATCTCTGCCATTTCCACATTTTCTGTTATTGTTTTTCCCCCTCTCATTCAGTAATGGGACTACCCTGTCCATCTTCCTCTTGCTTCTAATGTATTTGTAGTATGTTTTCTTGTTACTCTTTATGTCTCTAGCTAGTTTGGTCTAGTTTTGTGCCTTGGCCTTTCTAATTTTGTCCCTATATACTTGTGTTATTTGTTTATATTCATCCTTTGTAATTTGACCGAGTTTCTACTTTTTGTAGGACTCTTGAGTTTTAGGTCATTGAAAATCTTCTGGTTAAGCCAGGGTGGTCTCTGGCCATATGTCCTATCTTTCCGATGCAGTGGGATAATTTGCTCTTATGCCCTTAGTAATGTCTCTTTGAAAAACTGCCAACTGTCTTCAATTGTTTTTCCCCTTAGACTTGTTTCCCATGGGATTTTACCTACCAACTCCCTGAGTTTGCTAAAGTCTGCCTTGTGGAAATCCATTGTCTTTATTGTGCTGTTTTCCATCCTACCATTCCTTAGAATCATGAACGCTACCATTTCATGATCACTTCCACCCAAGCTGCCTTCCACTTTCAAATTCTCAACCAGTTCCTCCCTATTTGTCAAAAATCAAATCTAGAACAACCTCCCCCTAGCATAGATGCCAACTTCCCCTCTTTCAGGGGGGGCTCAACCCCCCTGTCTGCCCCCCGCCCCCACTCCACCCATTCCATGAGGCCCTGCCTCTGCCCCACCTGTTCCCACCCCTTCCCCAAATCCTTACCCCAGCCCTTGAGCACACCACGTTCCCACTCCTCCCCCCTCCCTCTCGGAGCATGCTAAAGCTGCCAAACAGCTGTTTGGTGGTGGCTGGGCAGGCAACGCTGGGAGGGAGGCAGAGAAGTTGGGACGCAGCACGCTCAGGAGAGGAGGAGGACAGGGGGTAGAGGGTGAGGGGAGCTTGGCCGCCGATGGGTGCAGATGACCCACTAATTTTAATTTCAAAAAGTCTCTTAGTTACTAAGGGTTAGCAGCCTAAGTCTCACTGAAAGTCAACAGGATTTAAGCAAACTTCAGCAGTGACTTATGAACTTAAGTGTTTTTGAAAATGTTACCTGATTGATGCTCAGATAAAATGCAGGTAGAACAAGTAGCCACTGAATTGCCATGAGAGTTTGGCACCTAACTCCCTTAGGCTTCTTGGAAAAGTCCAGAGCATGCAAGCATTGAAGCTAATTATAAAGTGCAAACAGTTTCTTCCCAAATCTCTGACAAGTTTCAGGGTCACATGGATCTTCAGTGCCATAGCAATTATACAAATCAGGTAATCTTGTTCCAGAACTATAGGCCTCTGATTGGTCTCCTGGAGTGTTTGAGAAGCAACCAAACAGTACAGATTCCATCTGGTAGAGAACAGTGTTTTACATTGACACTAGCCAATTTATGGTCCGATCTGGGTACAGTAAATATAACCATTTCAGTTGTGGGTATTGCAATATATTCTGCAAGTCTGCTCCAAAATTGGCCTTTTTCAGCATGATGTTTTTGACATACTGCCACATCTTGCCCCAATGGAAATGTTTGTTCCAACCTTTTCTGAAGAATACAGATATGCAATGATTTCTTATCGCAAAACAATCTAGAAGACTCTTATTCCCAGTCTTATCCTAGCACAATTTTCTCCTTGAACATGTCATAAGGTCTCATTCCAATTCATCACCCATGCGAATAATGTTGTGTCACCAAAGCTTTATTGTTCATAATGCCTAGATGTTGAATATTTGTGGTTGACAATTGTATTTTTGAAAAAGGTTTCTTTTTGTTTTGTTTTTAAAAAATCTCTGGCAAACATATTGCTGATAGGGATGAAATCCCAAAGCTCAACTCTTTGAAGAATACATGTTTTATACTGAAAATTGGCTATAATAGAGGGATAGACCCGAATCTTCACCTATCATGGATAAAATTGTTAATTCCAGGTTTGACTTCTAATCACCTCAGCAATATATTTTTTAAATGAAATCACGGATTTAAGAATTATTAGTGTCTATTTGCCACTCCCTGTGATCCTATGTAGAAATCATTAGGAAGGATACATAAAAGAGCTACCAGCTACCCTCAGCTGGCAGGAGAAGTGGCTCTGTCCCACCCCCTCCACTCCCTGCCAGGGCCTGGCTGCCAGGGAGAGGGGCCAAGCAAGCCAGGAACGTGCTGGGGGGGGTGAGGCGCAGCGTGGGAAGGACATAGGCAGGGCAGCTTGGTGCTCACAGAAACTGGGGGGAAGGGAATGTGCTCCCATGGGCCCTGCACCCTCCCAGACTACACCCATGTAGCCACCCCTTTCCCAGCCTTCCCCCTCTGCTATCCCTAGTATCTGTGTTACAGCAGAGCTGCCCCTTTCCTTTCCCTCACCCTCTGCAGCCTCCAATGCCCCTTCGCCCATGGTACATTCTTGCTTGTGCAGCCAGCACTGAAGCTGGTATCGTGGTTTCCTCACTACTATATTTAGTGAGCTAGCTAGAATAGAGCTCCAGTGGCTATGTGTTCAGGAGCTGCCATTTACCCCCCCCCAGCTGCAGCACAGATGCCCCCCAAGTGTCTAAGCTGTGAATTATTCACTCAGGCCTTCTTCCATCCATCAGCTGCTTTTTACTCAGATTTTCAGCTTTCCAGATTAATGCATAAACAAACCAGGGAAATAGAGGCTAGATGGAGCTACTATAAGGTGGGTGCATAACTGATTGGAAAACTGTTCCCAGAGAGCTGTTATCAAGTTGGAAGGGCAATGGTGTTATACTGTTGACACATTTAGCTTTTATTGCCTGATGCATACATTATTAGTAGGGTCTCCTAGGAAATGGTAAAACATGTGAAGGAACTGGTGGGAAACATCCCCTGGAAGTGGAAGGAATTTTCAGGATAGTGGTTTGGCTATAAATGTACAGGCTGGGTTTCCCCTAATAGGGTGATCTTAGGCACCCAAATCCTATAGACAGTGAATGGGAATTGGGCACTTCACACCCTTAGGTACCATTGTCAATTACAGCAGGACATAGTAGAGCAGACAGTGCATGGGATTAGGGCTCTGGATAGTTGGTTTCTATGCCTGTCCCTTTTCAGAGTAACAGCCGTGTTACTCTGTATTATTAATACAGGTGCCACAAGGTGCCACAAGTACTCCTTTTCTTTTTTCGAAAATGGGCAACTAAAAGGCCTGGGCTGGTGTCCTGCAGCACAGGTTAGAAGGTTTCCTTTTGCTTTTCTGTCCCTTGGATGAAATACACCCAGACATCAACACCTGCATTACAAAAATATTAGATTGCAATGTCAAAATGGAACTCCAATGGCAGAAATTGTGTAATTAACTCTTTAGTTTATCTCACCCAACAAGGGATGGATGCTCAGCATTCCATTTGCATCCATTTAGCCTGCACCCTCCCGCTGAGCCCAATCTCCATTTGTTCTCTTTATTTCAAGTAGCCACCAGTTCAAGTCTCCCAGCAGCTGAGTTGTACCTCACCTGTGGTATCTAATATTGGTCCTAAAAATAACAGGGTAACAGGTTTTTAAAAGGTCTATGCACCTCCATTTCTCCCAGGAGCATGACATGAACCCCATTGAAGAGAATGGAAATGTGACCTTTTAACTTTAGTGGTCTGATTTTAGGGGCAGAATCAAACTTATCTATTTCATTTTAACATAAGGAAACCGATCAGCTAGCGTTGTCCAACCCTGCATTTCCTGAGAGCTTTCCTCAGGGCCTCCTTGACCTCTTTGTTTCTCAGGCTGTAGATGAGTGGATTGATCAGGGGAGTCAGGACAGTGTAAATGACAGAGAGAACTTTCTTGAAGTCTCTCAGTGTGTTGGTTGCTGGGAACATATAGGCAATCAGTAGAGTTCCATAATAAATGGTCACCACAATGAGGTGGGAGGAGCAGGTGGAAAAGGCCCTTTGCCTCCCTGTGGTGGAAGGGATTCTTAGGATTGTCACAATGATGCAGCTGTAGGACATCAAGGTAAGTAGGAATGGGACCAGTGTGAAAATCAAGCAGAGAGTGAAAGCCAACATTTCCATCACCTGAGGATCATTGCAGGAGAGTTTTACAAGGGGGATAAGATCACAAAAGAAATGGTCAATACCATTGGGGCCACAGAAAGTTAACTGTGACATTGACAATGTTGTTATACTATTAGCTAGGAAGCCACCTATCCAAGTGCCACCTGCAAGCTGGAGGCAAGACCTGCCTCTCATACAGGCTGCATAGTGAAGCGGTTTGTGGATGGCTAAATACCGATCATAAGACATCACAGCTAAGAGAAGGCATTCTGTGGCAGCCATAGAACCAAAGAAATAATACTGTGAGAGACACCCACTAAATGAAACAGTCCTGTCCTCAGTCAGGAGACTGACCAGCATCCTGGGCAGGAGGGTGGAGGTGTAGCAGGTCTCCAGGCAGGACAAGTTCCCCAGGAAGAAGTACATGGGGGTGTGAAGGTTCTGATCAGCCACAACTAGCGCCACGATGAGGAGGTTAATGGCCATGGTTGCAATGTAGATCATGAGAAACACCAGGAAAAGGATCCGAAGTTCAGGGAGAGTGCCGAATCCTAGGAGGATGAATTCTGTGATGGACGTTTGATTTCCCTGTTCTGGATTCGCCATGGCACGTGTCTACGGGAAAGAAAATAACTCAGTGACATAAATGGACAACATTCACTTAATAAAATGTTAGCATTGTTTTCATTGTCTTCCTCTGCTGGCTACTGGAACAATAACAGAGTGGAGAATGGAGTCCAGGGGAGGGGAAATGCCATCTCTCTTGATCCCTGGGACAGATTTCATATCTGAGCAGACTGCAGGTTAAACAAAATGTGAATCTCTCTGAAAATCTGTGCAGTACCTTGACAGACAGCACCAAGTACTCAAATACTATTGTGATGGGGCTCAGATACAACAGTACAGACACACACAGAGGAGACAGATTAGAAAGATATTCGTTCAAATAGTCATACACACCACTTCCTGGTGTCTAAAAGCAGAACAAAATAGGCTGGAGTTCCACTGCTGAAATCAGTCAGGATTTTATGGAAAGTCACAAAAAAGAAACCAACCAAGCAAATAGGGCTGGGAATTGCAATGGGTGGGCAGCCAACTGCAAGTGAATTATAAGGGAAATGGGTAGCCTAATTCTATTAGCGCCTTTTGAAAATTTTATCCTAAACAAACAGGACTACCTGTCCACCCCTATGATAACATTTCATAGTTCTGCAGTAGGATACTCTGCATCCAAAGACCCAGCCAGGTGACCATCTTATGCAGAAAGGAAAATCTGAAATCTCTGCAGTTAGCCCCCAGTGGTGGAAATGTTACTACTAACCACACACAGTACCCAAACTTTATTTAAAAAAAAAAAAAAAACACAAAACAGCTAGAAACCACCAATTTAGCTAAAGATTTACACTCTTTTGCATGAATGATTTCTGTTTGAAATTTGTAAGAAACATTTTCATATTATTAGAGAAGTGGAGAACCTAAATTTCCATTTCATGGGCAATTCCATGATTTCAAATGTTGGTTTTCATTCTAATTGACTTTAAAATATATATCTAGAAATAAAATACATTTTTAGATTACTTGTTTTTTATATTTGTATTGTATTTTATTTGTATATTTTAAAGTAACATTTATTTTTTTAAATTTTATTTCATTTTATAAAACATACAATAACTTTGTTTAGGAAACAAAGTTTCCTAGAAATAAAATATGGTCCCATGGGACCATATCCATCTTGAGGAGTTGATATTTTTCCTGATAGAAAACTATTTCATCAGATTTTTTTTTATCAGCATTACCTTTTATTCTTTTTTTCCCCTTTTATATTTGGTTTAAAAGATATGAATTCTCCCTTTGTTTGTGGCTGTTGTATCTGCCATCACTGCCTCGTGCCATTACTAATCCAAAGAGACAAGGTGGATGAGGTAATATATCTTTTATTGGACCAATTTACTAATCCTTATTAACTGCTAAGTAAGGACCTGATTCTGCACAGAGTTATTTTTACAAACCGGGAATAATTCTGTCCAGTCTGAGCCTTCTCTTGTGGACGTCAAAGATAAAATTTCCCACTGACTTCAAGGATGGGACCCTTTGATTTCAAAGGGATTTGGACAGCTAATGCCTTTAGCCTTCTTTGACACTTATAGTTTGGCTCGGCAGGATTGGATTTCCATTGACAGACGTTGGTAAATGTTGATATCAGCGGACACAGCAAAACCAAATAAAAAAATATCGGTAACAGGCATCATTAGTGCAGCCTCCCCTCTGCATCGTGCCAGCAGGGATGGGAGTCACTGGCCCTGTGGCTGGGCAGGGACCCTCTGCCCCCAGCTCTCACTGCGGTGAGCGGGTGGGGCAGTGACAGCAGAGGTGCACAGAGCTCCCTGTATGGCTGCAGGGCTGGTGACACCCATCCCTGAAGGCACAAGGTGCAGGGCAGGCTGCGGTCTTGGCGAGCCAGAGCTGAGACCCTGAGCCTGGGCTGTGAGATGGAGTTGTCGTCCCTGGCTATGAGGGAGGCCACCCTGCTGCTGGATGGCTTCTGCCCATGGATGGAGCCATTCAACAGGGTGGCCTCTGCCACTGCCCGGGGCTCATCGTTCTCCCCCTCCTCACAGCCCTGGCCAAGGATCTCTGCTCCACTGGGCCAGAGCAGCCACCTTCCCTCCCCTTTCACCTTGGTATCTTGGACCCCTCGGCGGTGCATAAGCCACCAGCATCTCCGCTGTCACTGCTGGGAGTCCCCTGCAGCCCTGCCCTAACCCTGATCCCAACCCTGCCCCCCACTGTATTTCCTGCAACTGTAAAAAATTAATACTTAAAAGTTAGAAAAATCTTTTAAAAAATCCCAATATTAACCGTCTAAAGGGCACAAAAAGAATAAAAAGTCAAATTCTGCCCAGTCTTCTTATAGCCAATGTAGGCACCCTGAGCACTGAGCACAGCAGCAAACATCAGCTCTGCTTTACCCATCATCTCACTAATGCTCTCAATGCTGCAGGGAGGTGGGAGCTGTCATGAAGGGCACAATCCTGTATTTAGTAGGGAGGACAGTTTAAAGTGGAGTGAAGGACACTCCAGTGTTTGAAGATCTCACTTTGGACTTGGCAGATGTTGGTTCAATTCCCTCCTTTGTCACAAACTCCTTTGTGACGTTCAGGGCAGGATTTCCAAAGGCCGGTAGGTTCCTAAAAATGCACATTGGTGCTCGAGTAGGTGCGGTACCAAACTCCCATCGATTACAAATCCCACTAGGGGTGTCTGCTGTCTTTAGGTGCTGAAATACCTCTATAAATCTGTCCCTCTGGGCGTCCGGTCCCCGTCTGTGAAGCAGGAACAATAGCACCTCACAGGGAGGTGGGAAGATAGCTACATTCAGTTCCATGAGGTGCCCAGATACCCTGGTGATGGGGGCCATACAAAGAGCTAAGACAGTAGTGACCTGAGAGGTCTTTCCTTCTTCCAAATTCTGTTGGGTTGGGAGTTTAAGAAAGATCATTGCCAAATTCCCCTTAGGTTCCAATGGAATTAGTTACCTAGCAAACTTACATGGCTTCAAGAAGCAGGGAGGAAAAGGTTGATTTACCTCCATCAGCAGCTGGAGTCTGTCACCTCCTCACTCAGGAGTTCAGACACTGTGATCCAGGTTATTCAGTCCCTCTTCTCTCCCCACTGCATTCATGTACTTCCATGTTCGCAGCCTAGATGGGCTACCATGGCTCTGTTATATCTGATAATGTGCCATGTGCTTCATACCCTCCACCAAATGAGGAGGATCTTTTCTGATTCACTAAATATCCTTCTGTGGGAAGGTGCAGTCTCTTGAGGCACATCTGCTGTGGGGAACGTAACAGGCAAGGGAAAGTTAGTATTCGGACATTGTCTACAACTAAACCTTAGAGTCAAATTTCTAATCTCAAAGGGAAAGTTCTGGAGAGGGAAGAAACGTCTAATCCTAAAATCACTCATTTTAGTGGGGGAATGTTATGCTGACAGTCAAGAAATAACACTAATTCTAGAAATAAGGTTTACAGCTGAGATTTTCAGAGCTGCCTAAGCCCTGGTCTACACTAGGACTTTAGGTCGAATTTAGCTACGTTAAATCGATGTAAACCTGCACCCGTCCACACGATGAAGCCCTTTATTTCGACTTAAAGGGCTCTTAAAATTGATTTCCGTACTCCACCCCTGACAAGTGGATTAGCGCTTAAATCGGCCTTGCCGGGTCGAATTTGGGGTACTTTGGTCACAATTTGACGGTATTGGCCTCTGCGAGCTATCCCAGAGTGCTCCATTGTGACTGCTCTGGACAGCACTCTCAACTCAGATGCACTGGCCAGGTAGACAGGAAAAGAATCACGAACTTTTGAATCTCATTTCCTGTTTGGCCAACGTGGCAAGCTGCAGGTGACCATGCAGAGCTCATCAGCAGAGGTGACCATGATGGAGTCCCAGACTCGCAAAAGAGCTCCAGCATGGACTGAACGGGAGGTCCGGGATCTGATCACTGTATGGGGAGAGGAATCCGTGCTATCAGAACTCCGTTCCAGTTTTTGAAATGCCAAAAACTTTGTCAAAATCTCCCAGGGCATGAAGGACAGAGGCCATAACAGGGACCCGAAGCAGTGCCGCGTGAAACTTAAGGAAACTTAAGGAGCTGAGGCAAGCCTACCAGAAAACCAGAGAGGCAAACAGCTGCTCCGGGTCAGAGCCCCAAACATGCCGCTTCTATGATGAGCTGCATGTCATTTTAGGGGGTTCAGCCACCACTACCCCAGCCGTGTTGTTTGACTCCTTCAATGGAGATGGAGGCAACATGGAAGCAGGTTTTGGGGATGAGGAAGATGATGATGATGGGGTTGTAGATAGCTCACAGCAAGCAAGCAGAGAAACCGGTTTTCCTGACAGGCAGGAACTGTTTCTCACCCTGGACCTGGCTGTCCCCCCGAACCCATCCAAGGCTGCCTCCTGGACCCGGCAGGCAGAGAAGGGACCTCCAGTGAGTGTACCTTTTAAAATATTATACATGGTTTAAAAGCAAGCATGTGAAAGGATTAATTTGCCCTGGCATTCGCGGCTCTCCTGGATGTACTCCCAAAGCCTTTGCAAAAGGTTTCTGGGGAGGGCAGCCTTATTGCGTCCTCCATGGTATGACACTTTACCACTCCAGGCCAGTAACACGTACTCGGGAATCATTGTACAACAAAGCATTGCAGTGTATGTTTGCTGGCGTTCAAACAACATCCGTTCTTTATCTCTCTGTGTTATCCTCAGGAGAGCGAGATATCATTCATGGTCACCTGGTTGAAATAGGGTGCTTTTCTTCAGGGGACACTCAGAAGTGCCTGTTCCTGCTGGGCTGTTTGCCTGTAGCTGAACAGAAATGTTCCCCGCTGTTAACCACAGAGAGCGGGGAGGGTTGAGGGGGTAGGCACGCGGTGGGGGGAGGCAAAATGTGACCTTGTAACAAAAGCACATGTGCTATGTATGTAATGTTAACAGCAAGGTTTACCCTGAAAGAGTGTAGCCACTGTTTTATAAAATGTGTCTTTTTAAATACTGCTGTCCTTTTTTTTTCTCCACCATCTGCATGTGTTTCAATGATC